CCCAAGCTGCAGTTCACTTATGTGGAATGTTTGTTGTACAGTTTTCATCAGTTGGGCCAAAAACTTCCAGGATTCTTAACAGCCAAACTGAATGCAGAAAACCGCCAAGATTTCAAAATCAGGCTGCAGTACTTTGCCCAGGGCTTGCAGGTTTATAGCCAACAACTTCATTTGGCTCTCTAGGGTAAAACAGGGGAGGCCTTAAAAATGGAAGAGAACAAGATTAAAGTTATTGCATTGAAAATAAAAAACAATGTCAAAATTTTAATCAAGAATCTCTTCCACATTCCTCCTTCTTATAAAAGCACAGTAACCTTATCCTGGAAACCTGTACAGAGGTTGAGATTGGGCAAAAGAGCCAGAGAAGATACAAAACTTCACATTCACCACCCAAGAATTCTCTAGCAGGACCAAAGAGGGATGCCAGGCAGACTTACAACCTTCCCAGTAGGAAATACAGCAGCAATTTGGGCACCTTTAATTTTGAGGGGTGCCTTCAGGGGAAGTAGAGGTGGCCGAGGTTGGGGAACATGAGGAAATCATAGTTGAGGTAGACTCTACTGAATGAGACATTACATTCTTCCAGCACTATCATGAGCTTAATAAACGTAAATTCTACTACTCATTGGATTGCCAGGGATGTCCCTTTAAAGGGACTGCTGTAAAAAACAAACAAAAAAAAAAAAGTGAAAAATCACTGGGCGTGGTGGCACATGCCTGTAATCCCATCACTCGGGAGGCTAAGGCAGGAGGATCACTGTAAGTTTGAGACCAGCCTGGGCTACACAGTGAGAACTACATAGTGAGACCCTGTCTCAAAAGAACAAAAATAAAAAAAGGACTGCTGCCTTCAGTTGAAAACTTAATGTTCTTTATACCTTTGTACTTTTGTAACAGACACTGGTGTGTCCGAGGTAAAACCACAATATTTTTGGAGGCTTTCTCAATCATGTTTTTGCAATATAATTATTCAGACTTCATATTATAAATCTTTTACTTTTAAAACATGTTGTTGATTTGTTATTGAGAGCAGTTTGAGCCTAACAATGTAATGAAATTCAGTCTGATTCTAATAATCTGGTAAAGATCATCAGTTTGGAAAGATTATTGATTTTCTTCTCCCATCTTAGTTTTTTTACCTAATATATGGAGAAAAGTAATGGTCAATCTCAATATTTTATTTTCCTTGTTATTTTAATAAAGCTGCTAGGCAATTGTGCTGCATTCCCTACTAGTGTCATAGTAGAATACCAACTTTCTTAAAATATAAAAGTGACAGTACATTTTTAGGAGAAAATAAATTGCTTTGCCCTGCTTCCTTTACTCTCCTCCATATACTGGGATAGAGCTTTTGAATATGAGATCTTACTATTTGAATAGAAATGTGTATGTATAATAAGGATATATCTGTGTGTGTGTGTGTGTGTGTGTGTGTGTATACACATCTATGTGTGCATGCTATGGAACTTGAATACACAACAAATCAATATTTTAAATTCCAGGAATGGCTAGTCTTTGACACAGTGATTATCCTTTTGAGGCTGAGTACATTACTGATTTGTTATCTAGTTTTCTGCTCCCCATAGAGAGTTTTGAGCTAGTTGCACTTACATGAATATTGTTATTTAAAACTAAAACCTTGGCTGTATTTTCAAAGATAAATTTGGAGATTCCTATTGGTAAAATACAGCCAAATCTGATGTATACATAGGTTTCTACAGGTAGTGTAATTTAGGATTTGAAGATTTAATAACCAAGGCTACCCAGGAAAAGTGACCTGATAACATAGTACCAATAAGTAAAGAAGGCTCTGTTTGCTTTTGCCACTTCTAAGACTTTTAACTTCTCAGGTTATTAACCAAATTATTGTATAAGTTATCAAGTAGAATCCTTAGGATAAAATGACAGATGGGAGGTTTGTGGAGTATCTGATGTCACGGGCATTTTTAGTAGCATAGACCCATTGCTCTGCATTTCATTATTTCATTTATTTTTGTTCTGTAGCTAACTTTTTCTCCCCAAATTTGCTATTAAAATCAGAAGCCTAAATGTCAAAAAAAAAAAAAGAAGAAGAAGACGTTCATATTTCACTGGAAACTCTGAGAATCTTTTGCCTAGCTCAAAAGAACATCTGCTTCCGCTTAGCAACTTTCGATGTGCTTTGATCCTGATGTCCTTCAGTAACACCCACACAATGTATGTGACGCAGAGAGACACTGACTTAACGGCAAAGTGCCGCTTTCCAGGAGACACTTCGCTAAAGCTTTTGCTCTGGCATCAAACAGCACCATTTTAATGCTGCTTACTCTTGGGTCTTCCTTAGAAACCTCTTTCTGCAGTAACACTTAGCATCTACATAGCATTTTTAAAGCATTAAACAAATTACTGCTCAACCGACCCTTTGTTGGGAAGTCAACTAAATATATTTTGTAGACGTAGTATAATTTATAGATGGAAAATCAAGAAAAGAGCAGTCTAAATCAGAATTCAGATGTGTATTCCATTTTTTCCATTATCCCACTGTCCAGACCACCAAAAGTTTCCATATGAAACAGCAATTTTATTTAAGGCCATCTAGTAATTTTACTGTGTGATAATCGTCTATTTCGAATTTGTAATGCTCCAGCATGTACATTACCGGGAGGTCCTTTATTTACTAGTTCATTCCAGAAGCACTTACTGAGTACAGAGTAACACTTTTGATGGTGTAGTTTTTGGGGTTTTGTTTTTTTCAAATTAATTAGCTGCCTTAGTGTTCAGCAAACTACAGCCCCCAGCCCTTGTGGTAAATAAAATTTTACTGGATCACAGCCACAGTTGTTTGTGTACATATTGTCTATGGAGGCTTTTGTAATATAACAGCACAACTGAGGTTGAAGCTTCATTCAGCAGTTGTGAGAGAGAACACATGGCCCATCAGCCCCAAATATTAACCTTGTGGTTCTTTACAAAGAAAACTTGCCAACCTCTGTGCTACCTCATTGTTTTCCAAATGCCTCATCTAGCAGAACATGGATCTCCTGAAAATCTGGTTAAAGGCACAAACCCTGAACCCAAGGGATTTTGATTCAGTTAGTTCAAAGTGGAAGAAAGGGAATATGTATTTTTCAAAACCTCTTCAAGGTGAGTGGGTTGTACCATCTGAGGAATGCTGTTTCTGTGACACAATTTAAGGGTATTCTGAGGCGGTACCCATGGGATGAGACCTAAGAACACTTTCTTGGAGATAGTAGTTATCTACAGATCATGACAGATTTGGATTCTTAGTGATAAAAATCCAAAATTTATTCTAGTATGAGCTAAAATGTTGAGACGAGAAGAAATAAGGATGCGTGAAGGGCTGGGGATTTAGCTCAGTGGTTCTGCTGCCTACCTTGCAAGGATGAGTGAAATATGCACTAAGGAAACAGAGGTGACTAAGATAGGGCAATAGGGCTGAGAGTTAAAAGACAAGATTTCATTTCTATGGAGTTCAGCTCAGGAACAATAGATGCTCTAATAGCTTATTGAAAAGCACTTTAATTACGAATGAATGGTTTAAGATCTACAACTTGGAATAGAGCTGATCTGGCCAAAAAACTGTACCCCATTCCTCTCATGAATAATGAAAGATGTTTGTATAATACTGTCACCAGGTAGGATCCAAGGACTCCTCCCAAAGAAGAGATGGGAATCTCAACTCAGTATACCTACTACTTTTTTAACTCTGGTCAAAGAAAAAAATTTCTGAACATATCAATGAAAAGCATAGATAGGCTTTATTAGGCAGAGTTAAAGAAGTACACAGTGAAAACAGAGTATAGGCACACAAGAGAGAGGTACAAGAGAGTTGAAAATATCTGTGTTCTTATTCTTTTACATGGATGATCAAAGAACTTTTGTCTAAAAACAATCTTTGAACCCTTTGAGTCTGTTTCTTCATCTTAAGCACAGGTTACTGTCCGTTACCTCATTAACTAGGTTAGTTTATGGGATTACAGTGCAGCGGTGCCACAGTTCATGAACTTAATTCACTCCACAATTCTGGAAAAGACGGCCACGTTCATGTTTACGTGGGAAAGATGGCCACTGTCATGTTCATCGGCCAAGGCAGAGTTAGCAAACAAAAGCAAAATTTTGCTAAATGCTTCCACTGTTCCCAAAAACCAAACTGTTTGCAAGCAAAAGCATTGGTGAACTGAGGTACCACGGTATATTTAAGGGGTTTTGGTTGTGATGGGCCTGGAAGGAAAAAAAAATCAGCTAGGAAACAGAACCAAGCCTAGGGAATAAAGAGAGTACAAATATGGATATCCTTGGGTAACGTTGTGTCCTGAAGTTACTTTAAAGGTACATTTTTAAATTATGATTTTCTTTGTCTACCTGTCTTTATTTGTTGTATCCTACTGAGGCAGGAGATAGCTGGAGAGGGAGAAGGGAAGGCCTGTCATTGGGTGCTGGCTTTCTGTGCTAGAGCTACCTTCTGAGTTAAATTTCAACCCCGGTCCAGGATATTCTTATACAAATACAAAAGAAGAAAGTAACCTAGCCCTGATTACTATGTCATTAACTATGCCATTGTGACACTCCTCCAACTCTCCAACTCTCCAACTCTCTCTTAACCACTCCCCCAGCCCCAAACCCTGTTTCTGATTTTATGGGTCTGGGGCTAGGACTGATTTGCATTTCAAACAACCACCTTGGAAAGAAGTTGGTGATGCTAGTCTTGGAGCCACTACTTTAACCAAATAAGACAAATGGCTAGAAAAGAGGGATCACATTAGTATACCTGAGAACAGGTTTTGCCAATTAAAGCCCACTGGGCTCTATGACTTTGAAACAAACTCACTTCTCTCAATGAGGTTTAAGCTTGTAGAGCTCAGTGCCAGTTTGCATGAAAGCCACATGGAAAGCATAGGTTCATAAATAATAACAGAGTAGGTCTCAAACATGATTTAGTTTCACCTTTTAATTTATAGATTAAACGGAGAAACTGAAAATCAAAAAGTTACCTAGCTTACCTAGTTACCAGTTCCTTAATGGAAACCCAAGGATTCCAGACTTCAGAGGGAACCTGCCAAAGAAAAACGGGTGATATTTAATATTGAAAAATAAACCACATCCCTTGAGTTTACTAAACATCCTACAAATGGCAACAATAAACAAACTAGCATTTTAGCAGTGATGCCAATAATGAAATCCTTGCTGAAAGGATACTCATATCTGCAGGAATAGTCAAAAAGAAAATTAGTCAAGATTGGAAATCAATTTTGGCTCTTGAGTAATTGGTACAAACATATTGTTGCGATTTTACCTTGTGACCGCAAAAGGCAAAACATTACACTGCTAATACCGCCTATATATTACCCAGCTCTTCTCTATTCTGCTGAATTTTATGTGGAAGAAAATAGAAGCTTGATTCAGGTTCAAGTCCTATTCCCTGATTATGGATAAATGACAACTTAGGTAACCGCTGCAACTGATTGAGAGTGACATCGAAGTACAGATGCTTTTAGCTACCTCTGGGCTCCCAGAACACTTGGAAATAATTCAGGTATGGTTTCTTATCAGCTCAGTATTAGCAGCCTGTAAATCTGTGTCTGCATTTGGCATAATGGGTTCTGACAGAGTAAAAGCCACCTGGAAAACATTTCAATGTCCTTCCTCAAGAGGTTGTAAAGCTACTTCCCCCCCAAGGGACAACTAATCAACAATACATTATTTTAGGTCCTTAACACGTGGGACAGTGGGTCTTTTGTTTTGAATTGTTTTGTTTTCTGTTTGTTTCAGTTGGCTTTTTCTTGGTGTTCTTCATTTGTCTTTCAAATAAAGAATGAGAAGGACATATTTCTTTGTCCAGACTCTTGTCTTATGTAGATAAAAATGAGTTAATCTTTAATGAAGCAGAAAGTGAGTTATATAAAGGCAATTTCCTTCCAGGTTTTACATGATGGCTCTTGTTCATTTTATTGGGTTCATCAACCAAATGGTTATTTATTCATATATCCATCCAGTACACATCGAACACTGCTACGTGGATGGCATTTCAACAGACTGAAATTTTTCTTTTCCCTCTTGCAATTATTGGAAAAGAGGAAAGAGCGAGCACATATCGTTCGCACACTGGACACAGTTTGAATCCTGTTTCCCCTCTGCTCTGTTTGTGGTATAATGCCTTTACTCTGGGTGGATCAATCATTTTACTGAACAGAATTTCTCTTCTATCATTTTAGAGTGGTGAAATAAAGGGTTTAATGATTTCCTGCTTTTGAAACCTCTTGGTATTATGAAATAGCCTATTTCTAAGTTAAACACAATTTTCCTCAGCCTGATATTTTGAGGTGTTCTTTATCTTGGTGTTCGTTCCAAACTTATCCTAACCTTGAATGAACCTAGCATTCAAGACAGGCCTGTCTACATGCAAATTCTGAAACATGTAACAGGTATATCCACTTCTGTGTGTAGCTGCTTTCCTTCAATCTAGAATGAACTCTCCCTCCACAAAGACCTCAAGTCCTTTGAAGAAGAGTTTGAAATTCAACCTTCTTTGTTATGCTCCTCTGAGAGCCAGGACAGCTCACACTGAGATTTTTCTCTTCGTTTCCAAGACAATGATTATTGTGCAGCACTCATGGGGGGCACATAACAGAAGATTCCACCTTGTGTTATGAATTACTGCCTTATGTGTACTGAACGCTCCTCAAGGCCAAGCTGTAGGAATGAGAGGAGTGTGAGAGGAGAGTGGTCTCATGAATGTTTACAGTATCGGTCATTATTAGAGAATATTTATTGGCAATTGTCTTTGCAGAAAATTGTTCATGGAATCAACTGAGAAGCAATAATAATAATAATAATAATAATAATAATAATAATAATAATTTATAGAACTTCAGCGCAGTTAATTCTTCATGGAAAAACCTGAAACTTCAATTGCAGATTTAAAAGGTACTGAACAACCATTGCAACTGTAACTTTACTTCACATCTTTTGTGTCAGTTAAAATAGTATGTAATGCAACTTGAGTGAGCGCTGTGGGAAGTATTACCAAGTTCTAGTGTTTGCTTAGTACTGAACTGAGTCTTCAGTTCTGTCCTAGACATTTGCACCACAGTAGTCTCCGTTCCTGTGTCCTGTTGTTACTGTGTTCTGTACAGGTGGCGAGTGCCCTTAGCTTCCTTACCAGTTGCCACAGAAGGTCATTTCATATCCCTACGGCTATTGCCAAGGCTACGAAAGAGAAAAGCTATATTTGTATGCAACACTAACCCTGTGACTGCTAATGTATGTTTCTGCTTGCTGTGCCTTGTAATGGCTGCTCTTTTTTGTGTGTACTAGTAAAGTATGTTTGGTGTTCAAAAATAAAATAAAAGCCTTAAGTTACAAGGTTAGTTAATAAGAAGGCTAACAATGCCTGAAGTCACTGCAGTTGAATTTGTAAGAGTTTAGTGTCTTATTTTTGTTTGTTTGTTGTTTTTTACAAGAAGCTTAGAGAATTAAGTATTCTTCTTAATAGTACATAACACAGCCTTGCAGTAAATAGTATATTTATTCTTCAAAAGCTTTAAAGATCTTTGCTAATTAATTAACTCATTAATCACTAGCTAAACCAGCAATTTCTAAAGAAGGTTTCAAACGGGAAAGGAAATGTTAGTAATGGTAGCAGTTGTGTGTGTGTGTGTGTGTGTGTGTGTGTGTGTGTGTGTGTGTGTGTGTGTGTGTGTGTGTGTGTGTATTCTAAAGAGCTAAAGAGTTGTTGGGGGTTGGTGATTCATTGAGGTTGGGTTTTCATTTTTTGTTTGGTTTTTGGTGTGGAGAGAGTTTATCTAACTTTGATATTAGATTTTGTCTCCATGAATAATGCCTCTTGCAAATAGCTCACAAAACCAGCTTTTCACGCACTGGGTGCTAAGAGTTTTTGTTTGGTATAGCAGAATGAGAAACAAAGAAAGCATTATACAGTGGCCTTTATGCTGAAGCATCAAAATGTGCTTCAAGAAATGTGTAGGGGGGAGAAGGGAAGACAGAAGAGCAGAAGAGGGAATGCAGAATAGCAATTTCTTATTTTAATAAATAAGTTTAACCCTAAAATTAGAAAGAAAATACTCATATTGGAAGCTAAATACATCTGAAAATTTAATCTCTAGAATAATGGCAAGTTACAAAATTTAGGCTTTAAAAACAATCAACATTCCTGAATCCCTTGACTTATCTTTTAAAGGGCATCTATCTGGGTGGTTTTTAATAATTCTAGCATTGAGACAGTGATGTGCATGGGTGTGGGTAGTCTCATGCGAATGCTCAGTCACACCAATTTACTCACCCTCAGAGCAGTTTCAAAATCAATTCAGTATTTCCTGGATAGGTTGACGTCACCCCTCTCATACCAGAGCAAGAAGTGAGCTGCTTGCTTTGTGCTCATTAAAATTCTGTATACTACACTATGCAGGGGCTGATGTCTATTTTCAGGGCAGCCATAAAACAAAGCAGTAAGTGTTCTTGTCTCTGAGGCCAAGGTGGGAAGAACAGAGAGGATTCATGAGGGATGAAGCCCAAAGAGAGGAAGAGGGGGCAGGAAACATTCATCTATTAATGTTTACCAAATTCTAGCAATAAAAAGAAGTGTCAGCCATATACATTTTAAAGCATCCAAAAATACAGAAACTAATTCAAGAATTCTCCAAGAATCTTAACCTGAGAAAGAGAGAGACCAGCCAGTAAGGTAGTAACAGACAATTTAATCTAGGAAAATGACTTTTCTACCCAGGAAATTGAAAACATTATTCTCAGCTTGCATTATTTTTATTAAGTAGTTTTTCTTCTCACAATCCATTTGTAAAGGAAAATGTCTGTCACCTCTCTTGGTACCATTTGCATAAACATGGAAGCTAGTTTTTCTAGACATTTACGATATTGGACATGCATGAGGAGATGTGCACACATCCACACTTACATTTGCAAAGCCAGGTATGAATATGTGCTTTTTAGCTGGATCCTGGGGTCATAAAGGTCATGCTAGAGGGACTCTGAGGATTGGATTTGGCTTTGCTTTTGCCTGGGTCTGCAGTTTGCATTTGGCTCTACTCTAAAGGAGGAAGGTGGTAGCTACAGAGCATTGTAGTTTCATACTGCTGAGGGAGCACAGTTGCTATCTTTTCTCCCATTAAAATGTACCTTTTGCACAATTATATCATTCAGCTAGGCCTGCAGAAAACCCTGTGGTCCTGTGGTTCATCATCCAGCTGAAGGAGTAGATCTGCAAAAGGGACCCCCCTCTGCCCTGCCAAGTCCTGTTCCCCGGGGACAGGGACACTGCCTCAGAACATTCTTGGAGAAATTCAGCATGCTACACTTTCTTCAAAGGCCCAGTGACACAGAAAAGATGATCACAAATTCAGAGCAGGATATTCACTCTGTTTTTGAGCACCCTCCATCAAGTGTCCTTTCTACCCAGGAAATAAACAGACCCAACTTCAAATATTGTGAAAATTTTCTCCTCAATGAGGCACTTGCTGTTGTTTCTTTTGCTTCTGATTAGTACCATTCTACAGAGAGGGAGAGAGAGAGGGAGGGAAGTGCAAGGCTTTTGCTCTAACGACAAGCTGACCTTTCAGAGTTCATTTGAAATATATCCCAGAATGAGTGTCATCTCCCCTCTCTAGAATAGGACCCAATGTTCAAGGCAATGAGGAACTGCCCAATATTCAGCTTTTCTCCCCTTCTGGGTCAGTGAAAAGAAAACTGGGCAGAGTTATTCCAAGAGGGACTGCTACTGTGCTGGCCATCTCCCTGCCTGAGCTACGGCCTGGCCTGGAAGCAGCAAGAAAAAGAGACCTCTGAAGCACTTCAGGGCACAGAGTGGGGGATCCCACTAGAAATCATGCTACTGTTTATGGGGAGGGGATGTCCCTGGGCCTTCGTCTTCCTGGTGCAGGACACCAGGAACAAAGGAGGGTCCTCGATTCCGTCCCTCTCTTTGACTAACCAAGTTCAAGTCTCAGTCTTGCCATTTCTCTGCTCTATCCTCTAGGGAAAGTCACCTAACCTCTCGGTGCCTCACTTTCTTTGTCTATATAT